CTTTCTTTCTTTCTTTCTTTCTTTCTTTCTTTCTTTCTTTCTTTCCATTACCCCTTCCCTTTTCTTCTTTCTTTCAATTCCACCTCCCTTTTCTTTTTTCTTTTTTCTTTTTCCTTTCCTTCCTTCTTTCTTTCCATTCCTCCCTCCCTTTTCTTCTTTCTTTCCATTCCTCCTTCCTTTTTCTTTTTTCTTTCTTTCCATTCCCCCCTCCTTTTTCTTCTTTCTTTCTATCTTTCTTTCTTTCTTTCCATTCCTCCCTCCCTTTCCTTCTTTTTTCCATTCCTCTCTCCCTTTTCTTCTTTCTTTCCATTCTTCCCTCCCTTTTCTTCTTTCTTTCTTTCCATTCCTCCCTCCCTCCCTTTTCTTTCTTTCTTTCTTTCTTTCTTTCTTTCTTTCTTTCTTTCCATTCCTCCCTCCCTTTTCTTCTTTCTTTCCATTCCTCCCTCCTTTTTCTTTTTTCTTTCTTTCCATTCCCCCCTTCTTTCTTTCTTTCTTTCTTTCTTTCTTTCTTTCTTTCCATTCCTCCCTCCCTTTCCTTCTTTTTTCCATTCCTCTCTCCCTTTTCTTCTTTCTTTCCATTCTTCCCTCCCTTTTCTTCTTTCTTTCTTTCCATTCCTCCCTCCCTCCCTTTTCTTTCTTTCTTTCTTTCTTTCTTTCTTTCTTTCCTTCCTTCCTTCTTTCCTTCCTTCCTTCCTTCCTTCTTTCTTTCTTTCTTAAACACAGATTAAGAAGTTGCCCTTTAAATGGGATTTTAAATGGAGGCTTAAGCTACCTCGAACTGTACTTCCGTCCCGAGTGGAATTCCTCAGGACGGAAGGAATGGGTGGGCGAGGCCTATCCTCCCCTCCTGCCTCTCCTGTCAGCCCTTCCCGGGGCCCAAAAAGCCTCCAAGCTCAGTTTAGCCTGCAGGACAGGACCGGCGGCGGGGGAGGCAAAGGCAGCGTCCAGGCCCAAGGCGGCTTGAATCCCAGCATATGCCTGCCTGGGCGAAAGCCTGTCCCACTGGCTGAATCAGGTGGCCCGACTGCCCCGCCGGTCTACTGCTCTCCGGGTGCCTTCGAGCCCCTGTGCAGGCAGCTGGGCTGAAGCGGCACCGCCGACTGCGCTCGCTTCAGACGGTCCGTTGGAGCCGAGGCTGATCCACTACCCAGAAGAACCCGTCTCTCTCCCACTTCAGCGCCTCGGCCTTTCCCTGGTGTGGAGACCGGGTGAGGCGGCATCGGAGCTAGGAGGAGGCTGCTTCGCCACCCAGCGCTCTTCAAGCACCTGCTGCTTCAGGATGCGCTCCTGAGCATGGGCGACGCTGGTGGAGGTGGATGGTCTTAGGCGACTCCTGTGAAAGGGTCGTTCGACCCCCAAAGGGGTCGCTACCCACAGGTTGAGAACCACTGATCTAAACTATTATGGTTGGAAATTCTATAAGTTGCAATCCCAGCAAAGAGCACCAGTTTGGGAAAGACTGCTGAACAGTGATATTCAGGTGAATAAAATGCACAGTCTTCATTATAGTTTTAAAAACTCTCAACAGCACACATACTTCACATTTGTTGACTGTGCAGATATTTTCTTCTGGGTTATCTAATTTTCCCCTACTTTACTGCATCCCAAATGTTATGTATTCTGCAGCTTTGATACAAATAAGGTAAGATAAAGTCTCCTTTGAACTGAGCTTGATTCTGATGATTTCATTAATATGTCCATCAGTTTTCATGCATAAAATCACAGTGGGTTCAATTACAGTAGTCCTCAAGTTACGAATGGAATGGAGCCTGCCCATTCCATTCGTAACCCGAGGATTCGTGGGAGTGAATCTTGTACCTTAAATGGGATCACTCCCTCTTTCGCCCATGCATTTGCTAATCGAATGTGAGGCTCGTTAAGTGCATATGAGTATTTTAGGGTGGGAAAGGCCATGGGGGCCTAGTAATGGAACAGGCCACCTGCCTAAGACCACCCAAGGCCTCCTCAACCCACTAAAATAAAATCATGTTCCCCACAATTGCTTTCCCCCCACTCAACCTGTCGCACCAGGTCACTTATCATGTGAAGATCTAGCAAGCTGTGATCTCTCCAGTCTCCCGCTGCGCGTGCCCCTCTACAACTCCATTTTGGTGTGAACAAACCTTGCCTGGCACTTTGCCATCCAAATCAGAGCTCCGTTTAGGCCTGCACAGGCCTCGTCCAAAATGGAGGTTTGCTGTCCAAAATGGAGGTTTGGAAAGGCAGATCCACCCCTCTGAAGCTCATTTGGCTTGCAACTTGCCAAGCGAGGTCTTTGGAGGCCAAAACAGAGAGTCGGAGGGAAGGGCCCCCTCCAAACCTCCATTTTGGATGGCGAACTGCAGGGCAAATGTTGCAGAGCCTCTGCGGTTGTTCATAAGATTGAACAACTGCCATGGTGCTGCAAGTTTTATAGTTTTGGACTTGTTCATAAATGCTAGGGGGCGCTTATCACATAACTTTGAACGTTCACTAAGGGAATCCTCGTAACCTGGGGTTACCTGTACCTTCTTCCAGCATGCTTTTTTCCTTCCCTAGTAATCTATAGCTGGTATTTCCTGCCACTTTTTCATCCAAATACAACCAGGTCCATTTCTTTAGCTTTTTTAGATCAGTCAAGATAAACAAGGTGCAGATAAAAACAGATTTCTCGGGACAGATAAATCTTAACAATATTTTAATGTACATTAAATATTATTCCTACATTCACAAATAGTGCTGATAAATCTTGGCCAATTTTCCTTATTCTTTATATTTTCAAAATTGCTACGTTCTTGTCATCAGTATGAATGTTGATATTTTTCCAATCTTAACCTTAAGTGACCATACATACAGGCTGTACAGTATAACAGATCATATTGTTGAAATATTTATGAAACATTTTTATACATCAACCTTCATTCTGTGCCTTCCATAGTTGGAATTTTTGGTGTCCACCTATGCTGGCTAGAGATTTGGGGGATTGCAGTCTCAGCAGAAATGAAAATTAACAGATAGAGAAAGGATAGGCCATCTCAAATTCCAACAGATTTTAATAAATTAGTTTTTATGTAAGTCCTGATTCAGCAAAGGATTTAAAGTTGGTTTTGATTTATTCCATTTTATTAAGTAGTTAAATGGTTACCGTTTCTGGTCTATTCTATCAATTCTAATTATTCTCCTAAATCTAAGTTTAAATGGATTTAAATAAATAAAAGTAATGTTACTCAAATAGGTCTGCATGGCAGAGATTCCCTGAGGTCCCTTTTAAGAGCTTCAGTCAGTCTCAGTGTGTATAACTTAAATGAATGAGAAATTCCTGCACCATTCTAGAGACATTGTAGGGACCCTGATATGCTTTGGCTGTCACATGACACATCTACAGTAAAAGGTTTTAAGTATCAAAACTATGGCTACAGTTAATATTTGTTTGCCCAGAGTGAAAGAACATGCTTTTTTTCCCTCCGAAAATACTGGACTGGCAATAATAGAAGTAATTATCATCATAATCCCACAGGAAAAGGGGAAACACTACTTTCATTTTCCCAGATTCAAAATGCAATAAACACAAACATGGGTAACCAGTTGAAAGATCACAAACTTATATCAAGATATTCTGGCATATTTCACTGTCTTTAGACCTTAGAAACTAGAACTCATATTGCATTGGTTCCTATGGTTGTGTTAAATAAATCCATTCTTTTTTTTTTTTTAATCAAAATTTGAGTTAAAATGTGAAAAGATGTTTCCAGAGCATTTATCTTAAAAACATTAATATAATGTAGATTTATTGAAATTTTAAAGCTGAACAAACACCCAAAGTAATTGAAAACTATTCCACCATAATCTAACTGCTGTCAAAAGACACTCTCCATGTTTTAATTTTATTTTGCATTTGGGACTGCAAGAATTAAAATAGCAGTTAGACTTAGCAGTTAGACTTAG